GTTTTTTTTTTTTTTTTTTTTTTTTTTTTTTTATTATTATGTCAAAACTATGAGCCATTGTCTTCTGATCAGTTTCATTGTTTCAGCTAAGACAGGAAGGGAGTTCCTGGCTGATTCCACAGAGGAGAAGGAAGTAGTCGTGGTTGCACTTGTAACACCACTCTTAAATAGATTGGGTGTCTGGGCTGTGGGAAGTCCAAGCTTCACCTCCCTTTGCTGGATGAGATTTGAACTTTTCCAGCACCATTCTAGAAGTGCCAGAATATGCAGTCTGTAGGGTATTGTAGAGTAGTAGGCTCTCAGGAGGTAGGGCCACACTTTTTTCTCTTTTTTTCTTTTTTTTTTTTTTTTTTTTTTTTGGCAGCGGTGTCATTTTTTTTCCCCCTTCCTGCCTACTTGTGTCCTCTTAGCTGTGTTGATAAAACTGTGGGTCACCTAGAATAATAAAATAAAGATATGGACTACAAAAAAATCCTGCCGCACCCCGGCCACACCCCCACCCCCAAAAAAGGGAGGGGAGGGGGGCATTGGGGTTTATTGGTTTGAGGGGAGGGAGGCATTGGGGTTTTTGGTTTGATGTTTTTCTTTGTGTTTGGTTGAGGGGGGGGTGTTTGGTTGGGACTTTTTTTTGTGTAGATCATAGTGCATTGGCAGGTTGGGGAATGACAAAATCAAGAACAGCTATCAAGGGTGCAAGAGGGTAGGAATATGCTCAGAAATGTATCTGATGTGAAACTCTGCCTCTTGTCTGCAAAAATATTCGTGCAAGGAGGGGATGGAAGCTGAGAGAGTGCCCCAGTCATTTAGTTTTTAGAATGTTTTCTGGCTCATTTTGCTTCAGGTACTGTGCGATGCTAGAACTGCTCCAGGACAGGAGGCTGTTGACAGAACAACATATAGACTGGAAGCAGTGAATTTCTCCTGGCATGTGAAAAAAATCTTGCTTCAAATTTCTGCTCCAGACTAGGCAAAGGGGATATAGTTTCAAGGGAATGCTACTGTTGTCAAGCGAAAACAGTGGCTGAACTTGGATCTGGTGTATTGTGTGCCAGTTGACTATTTGTTAATCAAATTTCTCACTGAATTTCTTTAAGAAATGAGAAACAAAACCAGTAGGTTTATTTGGTCTTGTGGGAGTGGAGAGGGATTCAATAAAATTTTACAGACTTTGATTTGAAATATTTTAATGCCTCAGCAGCTGAAAAAAGATACCCTGTGAAGAGTATTTTTTCTCTCCTCTTTGTTGTCTCTCTTTCTGCAAGTTTTGCCCTGACAATAATCATCTTTGCCCTGCTTTTCTTGCTTGTATTTGCCAGAATTTTTTTATCTATGCATTTCCATCATTTTTGAGGGTAGAAAGGAGAAGGTTTAACAATTCTTCCTGTTTTACTAGTTTTCCCTTGGATTCTTAGCTCCCAAATCTTGCTGTGGGTGGATATGTCTCCTGTTCTGCAGACCGAAAGCAGCTGAGAATTTTTTTTTAACTCCCTGTTACTTGTGCCAAACTTTTATCTGCAGCCTTCGGCAATGCAAGAGACATAGTTCAATGTCTCCATCTTACCCAATGTCATCACTTTATTAGCTTATTTCAAAATAGCAACAAGCAATTTTCCACCCTGCCCTCCTTAAGAGACTAGTATTTTTCTAAAGGTATTTCCCTTGTCTCATTTTGTGCTGTGCTGGGGACAGAGGGACAGGCATAGCAAGCTGAACAAGGTGATGCATTTATGGGAACTTCCTCACCTTCCTACCCATAGACTGTTGTTCTGTTAAGAACACATCTGCGTTGTGTACAGTAGCAGTCATGTTTTACTTTTCTGCAAGTATTTTGGCACTCACAATAAATGTTAGTTTGTTTAAATGTGCCCTGTCAATATCGAATGTTGTGCTCTGTCAGACTTTCCTGCAACAAAGAGTAATTAGAGTAAATGACTTGTGTTATGAGTGCGAATTTATTATGGTCTTTGCATGGGTTAGGATTTGGTATGTCAAACAAGTGAAATTCCTGCTGTTATAGATGATTTGTACCGAAATGAAATCTAAATACAGCTGTGGTAGTGATACTCATCATAGCTCTTTTAATATCATTTTTATAACCCTTTTTTCTTATTCTTTAACTCTCCCAGCTGTCCATTTACAGGAATCTGCTCTAAAGGAGTTGGCGCAGGTGGCGCCATCTGTAAAAGGGCAAAGTGGAAGCAGTACACAAATGGATGAAGTAACTCCTGCTGCTACTTTTGGGACTACTGTTAAATCAGGATTAGCAGTAGCTGAATCTGCAGGACAACGTGAAGAGGAGAAATCCAAGCTAGAGAAAGAAAGTGAGCATGAAGATGAATCCAGTCTGTCTGACAAAGAAACAGGTGCTGGAGAACATCATCACTTGCATCTTTCCAGCTGTCATGAATGCCTGCAACTTGAAAACAGTACTATTGAATCGGTCAGATTTGCCTCTGCAGAAAACATTCCAGAACTTTCTGATGATTGCAATAGCAAACTGGAAGAGAAAAACGATGACTGTCTAGCAAGAGGCATAAAGAGAGTAAACCTTGCCGGGAAGCCCCCTAATGTATTGATTTATCTTGGCTCTGAAACTGCAAAAGCGGAATTTGAGCAGGTAAAATCAGTCCTTCAGGAATGCATTGACACAGACAGCTACACCATCTACCAGTTGCATGAGGAACAAGTACTGAAAGTTCCATGGATTGATAATTCACTGCTGTTGATCATTGCCACGGAGGAGCCTATTTCCGAGGAGAACCACAAACAATTTATGAAGTTTTTATCTAAAGGTGGAAAGATTCTAGCGTTTTCTTCGTCTTTTACATTTGATGGCATACAAATAAAGAGAAAAAACAAACTGAAGAAGACTGTTCATGAATTAGTGGTCTCTAAAATGGACAGCACTGAAATGAAGTTAAATCTTGTGGTCAGTGGCTGTATTTTTGAGGAAGTGATGAAGGAAGATACCAGCAAAGTGAAGACATTGAGTCGATTAAATAATGCTGATAAAGATATAGTTATTGTTCGTCTGACTTATGGAGACAGTGGTGGAGAAGCCATTCTTTCTCAGGTACTGTGTATGCAGAAGCATTAACTTGCTCATTGCTACACGATGTTGCAGTATGCTAAAAAAGTTAATTTGCTCCCATTGCATGCTCTTGGAGATGCTTGTCAAGGGGAGGTATAGATGGATGTCTCAGTGGATGTACAAGCACTCTGAATGCAGAATGGTTTCCACTTGGTCCTCAGGAAGCTTAAAGAATGGTAGAAAATGTTACTGCTGTTCTGCTTCCTTGTTTTCACCATGTAGTCGTGCACGTGTAGATCGTGCAAGATCACCGTGGGTGGTACAACAGCGAGCGCAGATTTGCATAATAAGCAAGCGTCTGTAAGAGCAGAGCTGTCCGTTTCTGCCTGCTAGAAGTTGTGCCGTGACACAACTGTGCATTTTGCAGTTTTTTGGGAGGTGGGAACATGAGGAGCCGAGTCATTGGTGGACTGGGGGTGAAAGCTTATACTGGCAAGATAAAAAAAGAGACATCCTTACAAAAATATGAACTATGGTGAGGCAGAGAGTCAGGAGAGGATGTAAAATAAACCTTGCAATTATCTTGAAAGACGTCTCCTCTTAAGGTTAAGGTAGCCAGCACTGCTGAATATCTGACTAGTGAATGACAGAATCCCAGACTCTATTGCTCGTTGCATGCCATGTCTAGGAAAACTGCTCTACAATTCTTGCTTGAGCAAGTAACTATGCAGTAAAGGTTAGTGTCTGACCACACTGAAATGCCTTTGATTTAGGTCTGTTGGTGCTTTTTTTGTTAGTATTGCTACTGTTTTTCTCAGTTATATTCTGCTTGTATCTTATTGTTGGGAAGTGAACCATTTCATGGTTTCTTTAGCAGTGTTTTGATTAAGGCGACTTTCTAGATGGATGTTAAGTTCATAATGTTGACCTTGCTGTTCTGTCATTTTAAAAAAACCTTTATTCAACTGGAATGCATTTTTTCTATTTACTATCAAAATTAAAATTCAATAACTTGTTTTTTGTTTTCTAAACCTTGACATGTTTTCAGTCAGTAATATATGTTTCTGATTTTATTGGGAGGGGGTAGGAGGAGAGAATGTAGTCTCCTGAAAACTTGCTTTTTTGTTTCTGGAGTCTTCCTTCAGGCCTTACACTGTTAAGTGCTTAACGTCCTGCACGTAAGAAATAGCTCGGATCACCTGGGGGACAGAAGTGGAGGAGTCTAGAATGAGCCAAAATCTTATTCATTCCACTTAAGAATAATAATATCCCAGCAAATAGGTACCTCTCCAGTGTTACGGTATTGTGATCTATGTTGAAAAAAACCCCCAACAACCAGACAAAACCCACACCCCCTCAAAAAGTTAAACAACAGATAACTTCAAGTGTTTGTCATCTTTTTTTGTTATTGCTACTCTGTCTTCCTGGATAATGGGTGAGGAAGCTTCCATGGCTGTGTTAAAGGTAAATGTTGGTCACTGATTATTTAAGGATTCACAGATATCTGGCTAAAGTTTTGAGTGATAGAAAGGCTGATGCCATGAAGTCTAAAAAATACATCTATGTCCTGGAAGTATGCATCTACCTGGGTGTATAACCTGTGCTGTAAAATCTAGAGAAATTTCAGCCAGTTCTTAGTAAAGCTTTCACAGTGAGCCTGAAGGCAACTTCCGTGTTTTGAGTTAGCCTCAGTAGGAGCAGAGGTAAACTTTTTTCTGATGTGGCTGTTCACAGGTGTGTCATTTCCCTTACTCTGTCTTTGCTTTCAAGCAGCGCATTGAGCAAAGCAGAGCAAGATTTGTTTACCAGTGCTTAAGCAGATGAGGAATATAATAGAGACATAGCTGAACAAACTTCATGAAAGATTCTAGGACCTGTATTTACCGATATTTTAGTTTCAGGAGAACTTTCTCAGAAGCTCAGAGCACTCAAATTTAACTGCTGACATATCGGGTAGCATATACTCTTCTAGCAATGAAGTAATTCAGAATTATTCACTGGGTTTCTTGGAAGTGTTTTCATCTCTTACCAGTTTTTCAAATTAAATCTGCTAGCTTTTTGGAAACTCTGTTATAGATAGTATCATGTTTATAACTTTATGTAGGCAGCTTTGCCACCCATGTGCTGTATGTTTGTACTAGAAAATTGATTAGATACTGTTGCTATCCGTTTCTGCAAGTTCCATGGTAAAACCTGCTTTGCTGTACCATTTAAATTGACCCTTCTGCTGTAATAAAACTTAATACTGCAGAGGTTTTCCCCAGAAAAAGGGCATTACAGTATAGCTTCAAAAATCAGATTAGAAGGATTAGTGTGTCTTTTTATAATTTTAAATGACTTCCAGTCTGGATTTGAAAAGCCTTATTGTTTTCAGAGGACTGACAGTGACATCAGCCATTAACTATTCTGTCACAGACTTGTTGTTTCCCTTTTTTCTGTACTTTTCAATTTCCCCTCCCCTTTCAGCATATTTCCCTGAATTTCAATTAAGTAGATCATATGTGAAAGATGAACATCATTAATATGTGCAAAATTGGAGAAATGAACAAAGATAATAGCTTGTGATTTTCATTAAACGGTTATACATATAGTAGGGTACAAAGACTTCTAAATATCCTGGAACACTTATTGAAGAAAACAAACAAACAAAAACCCCACAGAAAAACACCAAACAAAAAAAAAAAGAAAAAAACCAAACCAAAAAGGAGGTCTATCTAGAAGGGATTTTTTTTTTCTTCTGCATTTTGTTTCTGCTTTTAAACACTTGCTTCAGCGTTGAGAAGTGATTCTCTACGAGGTGGTGTTCTGGGGTTCTTAGTTCTCTTTCAGGCAGAAGCATTTCTTTATCTGCACGGACTGCAACTTGATTCATGTGACACAGTAAGGACTTGCTCAGCCTGAGTTCTACATACCTTGTGCAACCTCTGATAAATCTTTCAATTTTAATGTAGTTCTGCTCTTGTGCAAGCCAGAATATGACCAATATTGCTTTTGGTTTTAGGTTGCTAGCAGCTATGAAAAGTAGAAGGAGAAGTTTAAGTTAGTAAACAAGTTTGAACAACTCCTCCAGGAGAAGGCCAGTTTATTAAGAAGAAGATATGTTTTGTGTAGGTTTCAGAAAATTGTAGTGTACTGGCAGCAGTGATCCCTGAATCGGAAACTGTAAATACATAGATATTCCCTAGTTTATTAGGGTAATAAAGCCTTACTTGTGTAGATATGATGAAGACATGAGAAACTTTTAAGTTGCACAAGTAACATCGAATAGTTCAGCAACCACAGTCAGGACAAAACTACTTTGGGAACTGTTGTGCTTATCTCTCTCTGCTATGCTAAAATGTGTAATGCCAACAAAATAATTTTTTTTACTCCCTTTGCACGTGTCCTGTCAGGCACACTTGGAACTGGATATCAATTCTATGGATGTCCAAACTGAAGAGGATTTTAATTTGCTTAAAATGAGCAATACCAAGAGATATGAAGTTCTCAAGGAGATCCTGACATCACTTGGGCTGAGATGTGAATTAAGTGAAATTCCTATGTTAACACCTATTTACCTTCTCTCTTCTGATGAGGTAAGGCTTCTGCTTACATTTCAGTTGTTTGAGATTTACCCCACAAGACAAATTCAGTGTTCACTTAAAAACGTCCTGTTTCTACTGTGGTATTTCTCTTCGGAGAGGTTTACGTATGTATTACAAGTGAGCAAAATGTTAAATTTCTACTCTGTCACTATTTTGTTACCTGCTAGTAGTAGTTTTGAACTTAACCATGGGGAAATTGTGCAGAGTTAAATTTCCAGATACATTTTCTATATTTCAGTTAACAACATTTATGCTTATTTGCATGCTTCTGCAGTATCAGAACACAAGGCTGTGGTAAACTACAGAAAGAACCAATTTAAGAGACAGAATTTGTTTTTCTTTTAAAATGAGGTAGAAAGCTCTCTATAGGCTGGCCACAAAAGATCAAACCCAAATTAAGGAGAATGGTGTAACAGACCAAAACTGAAAGACTTGAGTGAGTAGGGAAGAGTGTGTGATTGCGCAATGAAGAGCGTTGTTCATGAGGATGTTGTAATCTTTCCTGGAAATACAATAGCTTCTTGTAATTCAAATAATCAGCTGACTGTTCTGGAGTTCTCAATTTGAGACACTGCTATGAAGAATTGTGAAGAACATATAAAGCAGCAATTTTAGTTTGTTTTTTTTAAAAAATGACTTCAAATACATGAGAACCATATTATATTGATCTGAAGGGGTGAAGCGGTAGGTGATTAAAAGGCAATACAGGGCTACTCAGGCTCTTTGAGGTTGTTGTTTCCAACCAATATAATGCTCTCACTACTTGATCTTAGCATGCTTGTCTGATTCCTGCTCCTTTTCTGCACCACCATTACATTAGCACGATAATGAGATGTCTGTCTTTAGGGGAACTGAAGTGTGGAAGCTCCTCCTTGAATGCCTGTTTCCAGCAGTATCTTACATCCTTTTTTGACTATAGGATCAATCAACAAAGTGACGTATTACAGCTGAATGTTTTTTAAATAATTTGGATGATATTTTAGATTTAGATGGTAGTTTTCAAAACACTGTTTATTAATCCGGAAGGTGGGTGTGATGAACATTGCACAATTTACAGATTGGGAATACGTGATGTGTGACTTCGTTGTATAGCAGGCAAGTCAGTAGCAGATCCAGACAAACTGACTAATATACTATTAATAGATATATCTGTGAATTCAGATCTGCGTTTGTTTTCTCTGTCTCTGAAGATACTGCCAAAACTTTCTACCAGTGCATGAAGTAATGCCCTCATATAGCAACTCCAATTGGATGTAAGAATTGATCAAAATTAGGCAAAATAGAGAGCCTTTTTTTTTTTTTTTTATTCCCCTTGAATGATTGCCCTTTCTTGTGTGTCAGACAGCCAGATCCATCTCCACTTTACAATGGTGAAAATACTATTGGGAGTGCCTCTATCCAGCCTTCTGTTTGAAGCAGGGCTGTTGCCAACAGTAGATGAGGTCAGCCATGCCCTTTGCCTGGCTGAATCTTGAAAACTTCCAAAGGTGCATGCTACAGCCTGTCTGTGCAACCTATTCCAGTGCTGCTGTAGTATTCTAGTGAATTTCTTTTTCCAGCCTGAACCTCTCAAGCTGCGATTTATGGCTGTTGATGCTTTATTGTATTGTCTGGTGCTACGAGGAAGTATTTGGCTCTGTCGTTCTTTTAACTTTCTTAAGTGGTTACGGATTGTTATTAAATCACTCCTTATTCTCCTGTTTGCCAGACTGAATGAACCCAGCTTCTTTATCCTCTTAGAGATGTGTTGTGTACCCCTAACCCCTTTGTGGTTGCTTTCCAGGGAATCCTAACTAGCAAATCGTTGCATAAGCTGCAGTTTGCTTTCCCAAGGCCAAACTCTGCTGTTTTCCTGCTCAGCCTTCCTCCAAATCTTGGGTTCTCCTGGTTGCTACAGCCAATGCTGCTGTCTGTGACCAAATATGAAACTACTTCTTCCCTCTCTGTGAGCACTAAATTTGTAGGGATTATGTATTTGTGAGGGAGACGTGGAAACAAAACTAAAACCCATTTAGCCTTTTTTGACTAATATTAAATGTGCTCAATACAGAAGACTTGCAGTTTATTGAACTCTGCTTGTTCTCCTCCTTCACTCTTTTTTCGTTACTGTTTCTTTCCTATGTACTAGCAATTTTGAAATATGCCAGGAGTAAAAGTTAGCTAATTTCTATCAAAACTTGCCATCTAGTGGCATATTACAGGGTTGCAGCCCATCTAGTAAAGATGGTTTTTGCGATGTGTGCTGTATAGTTAAACTTTTTACCAAAATTATTTAAAATGTTTTTTCCACAGTTTCTTTTAATGGTTATCTTTCTGTGCTTGTATATATAGTCATTGGTTCAATGGCTTTTGCTTTAGCTGTGACATGCTTCCAGAATATTGTGTGAAAGGAAGTTGCAACTTGTTTGTAAAAACTACAGTTAATAATGAAGAGATAGCGTACTAAAACAAGTAGTATGTAAAAGTCCAACTTTCTAACAAGTTACTTAATTTCCTCCATACGTCATATTCAACATAGGTCTTCCTGCTTTGCTAGAGAGCAAGGAGATACCAGAAATGTACCTGTCAGGTGAATAATGTGAGGAAATACTTAAAATTCTTTAAGGTAAGAGTGAGTCAGTAGTACTGGAAATGAAGGAAACTGTCTTGCAAGCCTTAGTACTCTTGAACTTCCTTCTTTTTTTGTCACTATTTGTATAGAGAGATTGTCCACTACAAGTCACTGGGGATGTATTGGATAGTATATTCCTTCTCTGAGAGGTTATCCAAGTAATGTTTATTGACAGCAAGTGATTTTTGGATGATTTTTTTATGCTTCCCTATAATAAGAAATGTCCTAAGGAGTCAACTAATGATCAAGCAAGCTCAATGTCCTGTTAGCAGTTCCAGAAATGGAAGAATGGCAAACGCTGCTCTTCTTTCTAAGAGCTGGCAGTGCACTAATGACTCCTCACTCCCAAACTGGAGGTTGCATCTGTATCATTATGTTTAAAAACCAGTGGTAGACCTAACCTGGTCAGATATTTCTAATTAATTTCAGAAACTACAAGCTCCTTTTGCTTGTGTGGAAGAAATAATAATTGATTTTGCTTTGCGTTTTCTACTCCATTAAGAAAAAATTTAGATTTTTTTTTTTTGGGGGTAATTTTAAAATTCTTTAAATTTAAATGCTAGTTTGGTTAGTTTTTTTCTTTCTGATCTGTAAGCTTCAGTTTACAGCAGGGCTGTACCCTGTTCTGTGTGACTTCCTTGGCTTCTCTTCCCTACTCCCATTCCTCCCTTATCACTTCAGAACTTTCATCAGACCTGTTTCCTACTACATTGTGGACATCACACTTTCTCAACTTCATTAGATGAATAAATAGCTTCTCTTGTCTTTTCCTCTGCCTACAATTCCTGAACAATCTGTGTCTTTTTGCATCATTGTTGCAATGCTGTTAATGATCCCATCAAATCTGTTATGCTGATTGGTATAAATTTGATTAAGACTTTCAGATGTTCCTGTCTACTCTCTGGGTCTTGGACAGTGCTTTTTGCAGTGTAATTTTTAGCTGTTTCTGAAGGGTGGATTGGAAAATTTTTTTGCCTCCTTAGGATTCAAATTTTGAAGTTTTGTTTTCCAGTTTACATGGTTATCATGTATCTTAACATCACAGTCTTACTACATAGATTTTAAAAAGCTAATAAAATATGAACAGAACTGACATTAGCTTTCTGAAAATCACTGTAACTTTAGAATTTGTGGAGACAATTTCTTTGATTCCTTAAATAAAAAGCACTAATTCTGGAGAGAAGAGTTATATTTTGACTTCAAGTGTCCAGGATTTCATATATGTTATCTATTACTTTTCTTAAGTTTATATATAATAAAAGCTGAGAGCTAGTGTGATGTATGAAAAAATAACCAAAGCTATAATTAACTTACACATAATTAAATTTGAATGTAGCGTCCTTTTCATTGAAAGATGTGGAAATGCAGATGGTACTATTTCATGAGGAGTTATGAACTTTATAATGCATTTTTTGCCTTTGGCATATGAAAGCTGAACTAAATGTTAGTTTAGGGTGGTATGTGGGAGGCTTGGGACGAAATGCTTAAACCTTGACAGTAGTTACGTTGAAAATTACACAATGAGGTTTTACCGCTCAAGAAAAATACATTAGGAATGGGATGGTCAGCCTTGTAACAAAGTGATATTAACTGCATATGGCTTAGCCAGACTAGATCTATGCTGCTGATACTGTTCTAAAACAAGCAGAGATTTCCAGCTGTGCCATATTCAAGTTGGAGGTGGGATGGGTTGGAGGCTGTACTAAATAAGCACTGAGTCTCATTTTATCTGTTGAATATCTTTCTAAACAGTGGAAATGAGGTTACATTATTACCACTGTTGGGTAACAATATTTAGGTTACTTGTCAGTTGAAAGTTAGATTGAGAAATGTCAGACTGAGATGTCAAACTAGAAAATATGATTTATTAAATTTTTGTGTGTGTTGCAGTTCTCAAATAATGTAACTGCTGTGATTGATTCCCACATCATGGGGAATTTCTGTTTTACTCTTTTTTTGTTTTCTTTTTATTTGTGTTTTTTTTCCCTGCTTCTGTGTTTCTTTTGCTCACTTGACTTTTTCTTAAAATGCCCACAGGTGTTACCAGTCTGAGTTTGAAATTCTGGTAATATTATGGCTTTAAATTAAAATAAAAGCTCTAGTATCTGAATAATGGATGGTAATGTCTATCTGTTAAGGAATCTAGATCTTACCATGTAGAATTATGCTAGTCAGTCCTCAGCTAGTGCTCGCTGCTCTGGGTGTTGAATGATGGCTGTGACAGTATGCACTTTTTATTCCTGATCTCCTTTCTTGTAAACAGAGTATCAGGTAGGGGGCCTGGAAAGTAACAGCACTTGAAGTGACTCTTTCATCACATGACTTTTTTGTGCTAAGGCTTGCAAGTATGGTTTGCTTCAGATACACACATACAGACATT